CTAATGTGTTTTCATTTGATTTCTCTTTTGATGTAAAAGAACAAAATTTTTAGTGCACTCTAATCAGTGGCCTAGAAATTGTAAAAAGGATATTTTTCTCAATTAGAAGTACCCCATAAGTGCTGTATATCCGCAAGCGAGGAGCATTCGTCTAGTTAGAGCTGGAAAGAAAAGTGAAATAAGGGTAGCAAAACACAAAAAGATAAATATGCATACTTTGAAAAGAGTAATTATATTTTTACACCTTTCCAAGTTTTTCTATTTTCTCTTTCTCATGTGTCAGTGCTGACTTTAAAGTAAATGGAAAAACAACAGAATGTGATCATAAAAGACACTGTATCAATCAGATTAAGCAAGACGAGTGTGTTGGGGAGGTTTAAGTCACCTCTCTGAGCTCGGTGCACACTCGGCCTGGCTCTAACGTGGTGTGTGGGACTTTGGCAGCCAAATCATATGACATTTGATGATTAGTGACTTTATTTTGAAACACGTTATTGCTGCCAAGTATTATAATTCTGCGATTTCCTGGACACAGCAATACTCATTTTAAGGACATCTCTTAGCTGCGAACATAAAAAAATATCAAACAACACAAAGCAAAACAAAACCGAAAAAATGAGATTCTTTAGAAATATCTAGCCTTTGAAATGATGGTCTGTGAATATCAAACAGCCTCATGATTCTTTCTCCACTGACAGCTGTTTACATGAATGTCAACAGAGGGTCAGTTTTCTGGCCTTGAGCCTCTTCCCTTTTTTTTGTAGAGGGATACACGGCTAGAAGGCTACCAACCACATTTTTTGCTTGGATAAAGCAGAACCTAGTATTTTCTAAGCTTGCTTGCTATTCATTCCTGTAGTTCTTGATCTAAGAGGGCACCTAAGTAATTATTTATTCTAGTCTTACATATTATAGATGAAGAAGCAGAGGTTTTACATATTTTTCCTTAAGCTGTTTATCTTTAGTAACACTCTAACCATCCCTGAGTTGTGTAGATGTGGGCCAAGGAGTCAAGGAATGTTTAAACAAAACTACATCAAAATGGCTTTTCCATTTTAGTGTCTTAAAACGGATCTATGCCCTGGCTTCAAATTGACTAAAAAGGTGATTGCAAGAATCCAATAGATCATTGCTTAAAAATTTGCACATAGAGACAAGATCAAGGTCTTCACTTTTAAAATAGTGTTTTGAAACCATTTAGACCAAAGTATCTACTTTGAGATCATTTTTTAGTTTTTGTGTCTTGGTTGCCTATATTGCAACAGGGTACATATTCTGACAAGCTCACTCTAAGCATTTGGGTTTAGTTTGTTATAAATGGTTCAGTCCAGCAGAAGCTGTAGAAAGCAGTGCTCATTGGTTGGAACAAACACTTTATGATGCCATGCACGTAAGTGCCTTTTCGTTTAGAGAAGGGTGTGGAGGAAGCCCACTCAGCTCTAACAGAGCCTTTCTTATATCCATGGGCAGGAATTTCAGGGCCAGGAAGGAACTGAAATGGGTCTTCTCTATCTATCTACCACAGGTGCGAGAAGCCCGTTTGCTGTCATCACCTGCTGTCATCACTTGCTCTTGCTTTGAGACGCTGGATATCCCAGTTGGCAGCACAGTTCATCTATCTTCCACCAGTGATCACAGGGATCACAACACGTACCCAGTAGGGGGCCCCAGCCTCCCACCCTGACCCTCACACGGGGTTGTCATACAGCCCAGAATAAAGAGCAGCCTCTACATGCAGCTCCTATGTTTGCAATCCACACTCTGTGAGCTCAGGTTTTTGTGAAATCTGATTATGAAAATACAAGCATACTACGCTCAGTGGGTCCCAGTTACTTTGTCCACCAAGAACATGGGGAATAGTGGCTCTGCACACAGTTCATGCATCTTTCAGAAAAGCAACTTTGGAGATTTCTCTCAATGACATGAAAGGTAGCCTTGTAGAGGATTGGGACATCGATTTAGTAAATCCTCGGTTGTAAGGATTTGGACAGATGGTCGAAGGCAAAGTCACCTTCTTTTCCATAATAACCATAGGTCAAGAAGGGTACTTTTTCAGTAAGTACTGCAGGCTAGGGTACCTCCTCAGGGCAAAGCCCTTACAGCCCTAGCCAGCTCAATGCTGTCAGCGGGTCTTTTCCTTTTGGATCTGGTGGGAAGTCGCAGCTGACTGGTCTTCCAGGTGTGGAGGTGGAGGTGGAGGCGGGTGAAAGGCAGAGGAAGGGTGAAAGGCTGCCACGGAGCCCACAGTAGCTGCTCAGACACAGGCTTGTTGCATTACAGGTGCATTGCAGCCAGTACTTCCCTTCCTCCCGCTTCTGATGGTGCAAATTTAGAACTCAGGAACATTCCTCGGGTGGGGCGGGTGGTTATGAACCTTACAGCCCACAGGGAAAACAAGGAGAGGCATTTCCGGGTCATTTATAGCACTTCCTTGACGTGGAGGAAATGGAAGGAGGATATTTAGACTAATACCCTAAACTAAAAATGGAGAAATTTTAAAAAGGATTAAAAGGTGAAGGTAGGGTATTTCTTTCCTTCCTTGTTTTTCACATGAGCAGCCGCTGAGAATACAACTGGCTGTCAGCATCCTCTGTAATTGTGGACAGGACTGAAATGGATAAATGAACCTCACAGATAATCCCCTCAGCTTATTCTTACCCATTAGCTTCAACCTCTTCCCTCCACGAACCTATCCCAGCTCCTGATGAGGAAAAAAATATGAGCTAAGTGAAGCATGAACGACCTTGTGGGCCAGACTCGTCCTCTGATGGAGGTGTGAAGGCACAGGAAGGAGCCAGAAGTTCAGAGCACTGGATGGAGCTGCACGACTGCAAACGCTCTGCCACCATGCCGGGGCTTCTTCTCACAGCGGAAAGACTTCTAAGCTGACAGAGCTGGACGGGATAACCCAATCCGTCAGGTTCCTGTACGGAAGGAGATACCGAAGCTCTGAGAGGCGAGGGCCATCACAGGGAAGGCAAGACTTTCCCTATGCCATTTTATGGTCTTTGACTGGGCCCGAAAATTAAGTTGACCTAAGACAGATTCCCAGGAAAGCATACAAATCTTATTATTACATGTATCACAGAAACATGAAGACCCTAAAAAGCATCTGGGCCTAAATGTTTTATACTAGAATGAACAAAAAGTAATAATTGTGAAAAAGTAATGAAAATATACGAGAAGGCCTAAAGGAAGATAAGGTTCTTCGATGAGGTTTATTTGTACTGATTTTGTCTCCGCCTCTCCTGCCTGTCTCCAGTGATCCAGTGATAAGAATGTTTTTTTTTCCCTCTTTTTACAGAGAAGGTATCTTTCCATTCATGTGAGAGTTTCATCTGCCTTTAGGAGGAAAAGGGAAGTCAGAGTTCCTTCTTGCATGTAGTGTTTTTGAATGCCTTTAACAAAATAATCCTTATGGCAAAGTGGCGTACTTGGGGCATATTCTGCTACCCTTCTCCATCCAGCTAGTTAGTAGCAAATGAGAACGAGAAACTGGTCCTTCTCACTCATGTCTGCGGTTATTTAACTACCATTTTCTGTCTTGTGTCTGGGGCACACCGATGTCTCCTATAGATCTATGCACCGGGCCCTGTGTTCAAGGTCTCCAGATTTATGTGCATCACACAGGCATTACTGTTTCTATTTTGTGGGTAAAGACACTGAGGTTCAGAGAGGCTCAGCAGGTTAGTAAATGGCCTTTTCATATGGGGTAGCCTAAACACATGTCCTAGGTAATACAGCAATTTAGATCAAGAGTCTGGTTTCATTCATCCTTTGCAAATGAAAAAACTGGCTCCAGAAAGATTGGTTTTCTCAAGGCCGCTCAGCTGGACAGGGGGACTCCGCATAGCCGCCATGACACACATGGGATAAGCACTACAGGAACGGCTTCCCCTTGGCTCCACTCACCTAGAAGCAGGGGTTGGTGTTCCTGAAATAAGCCTTGTAGGACACAGGAGACTCAAGACAGGACGTTCTCTTATTTTAAACTGAAGCTTTCAAAAAATGTACCAACCTTTCCAGTGCTACCTTGGGAGATGCCTCCCAGGGCTGCTTCTTCTCTGAGGTGCTGCTGAGACCTGCAGGGAACATTAATATGGAAAACTCTAGAGTGATCTAGCCTTAACCCACTGCCTCATCAAAATCATCCCAGTCCTTATGTCATTCATGGTGCTGCTGCAGGTAAAGACGTGGTACTCGGGTTTGGAGGAGTGAGGTTTTAAATTTTTTTGGACTAGCTGGGAAATACCCTCCTTTTGTGAGAAGATTCTAAATAGCTGTTCCAAATGTAATTTTTCTATTATTGGACAAGCAAGTAAGTTAAGTACTTTTAGGGGTCAAATATTCTCAGTCAGGGCCACTGTAGGTCATGCTGATACAAACTCATATCCGAATCCAACTACACTCTACCAACACCCCATACAAGGTCTTAGTAATATGTGACTGAGATACAAAGCCACTACGGTCGTATCCAGAGGGTCCTTACTAGATTAGATCTGGTCAGACACCCATAGTGGAATCCCACTCAGCTGCAGGCAGGTTCAGAAGTCTCTATCTAATGACAGGGTCACAGATGCTTCTGGGCAAAAGATGGGCAGAAGCTGAGGTAGCACAAGATCAAAGCTGAGAGATTGGGTTCATTGAGTTCACCTCCCCCAGCTCTGGTCACCACCAGTGGGGCTGGTGGGACTCAGGGAAGAAAATGTCCTTAACGCTCTTTTGAGTGATATGTAGGAGTAGAGTTCCTATTTATCAGTTGGAAGTAGTACAAAGTGACAGTGTTAGTAAGTGAGAAATGGGGAATGTCATGAGTGGGGGTCTGCATTCAAATGAAATTTGCTGACCTTCCCTCTGGTTATGCCTATGGCAGATGGGATCTGAGAGGCCTGGTATTAGGGGCTGCTGTTACCTCAGAGTCCAAATCAAATGTGAAACATATGGTCATCATGAAGCATCAGGCACCTTTGAGAAGACATTCTCTAAACAACACTTAAGTATTTGGTCAAGAACACCAACGAATTCATAATCATTTATTGGAAATCACTCATAGTTTACACATTATTAATGGCAAAATAACACTGTTAAACACCTGCTGGATGAAGAACTTCATTATGACAATTTCGTATTGTCTTCATTTCTTTTTCAAAAATTAAAAATTTAATTTTTAAATCTTACATCTTTTCTAAAAAGATCTATCTTCGAAGGGCTCCAATGCCAACACTATAAGCCTTTCTCTTGCTCTAACGTCTAACACTAAGGGTACACTGTCCCATTAATTCAACATGCTCTTTACAAAGTAACTTAATACACAAAATTTTTTTAATCCAGAAGCTACATAATGATCACTTTATATTTTGCTGCAAAATCAATGAAGGCCTCATGCAGGTGAAACATTAGTAGAAACTGAGTTCTAGATAACTGTTGGTTAATAAGATCCGATGGACTGGTGTGGAAAATTAATATGCTTATTTAGCAAAAGCAGCTAAAGTACATGCATCACTGGCTGAGGTCAATTAGAATATAAATTAGTATATAAACATTGAAATGAGAGCTTAATTTGAGCTTAATTTGATGTCTGGTATGTCTGAGTTAATACACCTTTAAAATGACAATAGCAAAGAGAACAAAATCAAACCCCTAAACAGGCACTGATTTATAGGGTTGACTGGGAGTATAGCTCAGGACACACAAGTAGCTGGGCAGTGAACAGATCTTTTTTGAAGCAAACACCATAGAGCATTAACAAGCTGTAAACAGGGCAAAAAAAACCAAAAAACAAAAAACAAAAACCTAGAGACCCATTTTCTATATTCTCATTCTAAAAAATGTTCAATTTTCTAACTTAAAAACAACAAAAACATGCACAACTACGAAACAGAAACAGTCTTTAGTTACTACTTAGACCACTGCTTCTGTCCTCTACCTGACTCTGCTCCTTCAGATAGTGTGTTTAAAAATAATGCTGGGTTAGTTGGTAGAAAAAAAAAAGAAATGCTCTCCTGAATCACACTGAAAGAATATTAAATTCCTTCATCCTGTCAGGGTTAACATTATGTACAAGCATATGAGGATGTATGTTTGACATATTGTAGCTACAGCGATTAAATCACATGTCCACATTCTAACGTTAAACTATAGTTACATTGACTTAAAAATTTTTTTTTCATCGATAGTTGTATCTTGGCTTTGAGAGAAACAAAAAATTCCCAACCCACAGATTCTGTTCCCTTCTACCCTCTACCCCTTCCCACCTTCCAATGGACAAGAGAACTATAATAACAGAAGGCATGAACCAAGGTGTCAAGGGCAGACACGTTGGATGGCGGTTCCAGGTTCAAGCACTGCCATCTCCAGTCCTGGCTTTCCGGGCCTCGATCATTGGCTTGGTTGCCCGTTTGCGGTCAGTGGCCAGCCCCAGCCAGCACATGATGTCAATGAACCATGTGGTTGGGTTGAAATTTAAGCCAAATTCACTCGCAGAATAGTCAAAGGGAAAGGTGTGATGGTAATTGTGGAAGCCTTCACCTGGAATACAAAATGAGCATTGAAATATATCACGTACCATCTCTCTGCATAGATTTTTTAATCACTCTTTTATTGAGGGTCTACCATGTGCAAAACACTGCGTCAGGCTCTTTGGAGAACAAAAGACTTGTTTCTTGCCTTAAGGAAGTGTTTACTTAGTTGGCTAGTAAAACTATATGTGAACAGAAAATAACAAAAAGGTTATCAGCAGAAAGTCATATGATAATTTTCCTGTATGAATTGGAGACATGGTACCATAACTTCAGCGCTGTACTTCCTGAGCTAAATGCTGAATGGCTGGTAACAGATCGTCATTTTGATGTACGTTCACAAAAGGAAAACAGTCTCTGCAGACTGGAGTGATTAGAGCAAGACTTCCTGGGAGAGCTTGAAAGAAATGAGAATTATTCAGATAGGTAAGTAAATTAAGGAGTTAGATAGTGAAATATCCAAAGTCTGTCTATATATTACTCTGACCCTTCCAGTGAACAGTTTTTCCTCCTTTCCTTTTTTTTAAAGGTGTTTTCAGGAAGGAGGAGGTGGTATCTCAAGACTTATTTCATTTGATTTTTAAAAACAGCTTTATGGAGATATAACCCACCATACAATTTACCCATTTAAAGTGTACAATTTAATGGCCTTTAGAATATTCGGAGTTGTGCATCCATCACCACAATGAATTATAATATTTTCATTCTCTGAAAGGAAACCTCACACCGCTTAGAATTCACGCCCCCCACCCATCCCCTATCTCTCCCAGACTTGCTATCTCTTTGATGATTAATCCTATGTCAACCTAACTGGCCGAGGGGTGCCCATTAAATATTATTCTGGGTGTGTCTGTGAGGGTCTTGCTAGATGAGAGTAGCATTTAAATCAGCCGTCTCAGTAAAGTCGATTGCCCTCTCCAACGTGGGTAGGTTTCATCCAGTCTCTTAAGGGCCTGCATAGAACAAATGGTGGAAGAAAGAGATACTTTTTTCCTGACTCACTGATTGCACTGGGATAACTCTCGTCTCCTGCCCTCGGACCAGAACTTACACCACCAGCTCCCCTGGTGCTCCGGCTTTGGACTTAATCACACCACTGACTTCCCCAGGTCTCCGGCTCACAGTCAGCAGATCATGGGACTCTTCCCTAATGGTGTGAGCTAATTTCTCACAATAAATCAGCCATTCTATTTATCTATAGAAACAACAGAATATATCTATGTTTGTATAGATATCCTACTATTTCTATATATATGGAAATTTATTATGAGGAATATATGTAACATATGTAACAGTATACAGACTGAGACACACACACAGTTTCTGTTTCTCTGGAGAACCCTAGTATTATCTCTATTTGCCTATTCTGAACATTTCATGTAAATGAAATCATGTAATACGTAATCTTATGTAACTGGTTTCTTTCACTTAACATAATGTTTTCAAGGTGTAGCAGTTATCAGTATTTCATTTCTTTTTATTGCTGAATGGTATTCTATTATATAGATATACCACCACTTACCACGCCATTGTATTTTTACAATTGTGTTTATCCATTCATCAGTTGATGCACGTTTGGTTTATTTCCATTTGTTAGCTATTATGAAAAATGTTGCTTTGAGCATTCATCCACAAGTTTTTTGTGTGGACATATATTTTCATTTCTCTTGGGTATAAACCTAGGAGTAGAACTGCTGGATCATATAGTAACTATTTTTAACCATTTGAAGAACTAACTGCCAGATTCTTCCTTTATTTCTTAAGTGGCAACAGGTCATGATATAGTTCTTTTATTGACCACGTTTGACAGATTCTGCTCTACAATGAGTACATCAGAAGGATTGATCTGTGGTCTGTAACTTTCTTAATTTAAGTCCTCTCTACTCTGCCCCTCCACCCTCGTCACTTTTAGTGTTTTTTTCTTAAACTAAGGTACAGTATAGAGAAGTTTCCCCCCTATTTTCAGAAACGAGGATGTTCTAAGAACTCTATCTGTATCCACCATCTCCTTACTGCACAGTTGGTTGAAACAGAGCCTTCCAAGGACCTTCATGAAGAAGACTGACTGGGAGTCCAGTGCTGACCTGAACAGACTTAAAACCAATACCCCGCTCTTCAGAGCCTGTGCATGGTCACACTCTTTGGGTTTCCTGGATCTCCATCTCTATATAAGATGGTAATAGCCCATCCTCTCTCCGCCCCAGTCTGCTCTCAGAGCCAACACTAAATGTGGTTCCCCTCACTAGAGTCCTTCAAGAAGATGAAGAGTGAGAGGAGGAGAAAGCAATCGGTGAGTCAGGAAGCTCTTTCTTCAGTTTTCCAAGGCACCTTTCTCTCTGCTTATCCCATTATCCCATAGCTAAACTTAGTGTTTATTTCACCTTATACTGCTCTCATCAACAACAGATCCCTGGGGTCTCAATAAACGGGAAACCCTAATGAAGTGGTGGCAAAAAAATCATTGTTGAGTGACACAGAGACCATTTCTACTTAAAGTAGAAACTTCTCTTCCTGGATTTGATCTCTGTGCTCAAGGCTCAGCTTACCAAGAAGCCCAAATTGCTTTTATAAAGCTATAGTTACTATTTATTAATCTCTTACTATGCACCAGCCACAGTGCTAAGTGCTTTAATGAGTATGAACTCCTATAATCCTCACACCTCTGAGCTATGATTATCCTCATTTAAAAATGAGAATGTAAATTCACAGAAGGGACGAGTATCTTGCCTAAGACCATATGGCTAGTAATAAAAACAACATCACTGAAGGCTTATTTTGTGTTAATTACTGCTGCAGACACTACGTATTAACTCGTCTACCCCTCCAACACCAGGATGAGGTAAATGTCACTATTATCTCCACCTTACAGATGAGGGCACGAGGTATGGAGGAGCCAGACAACTTGCCCAGAGAGTAATTAAAGGTACCAGGGCTCTACCAAACTTGTCGGACTCCATAGGCCTCGCTCTTAGCCATTTTGTGGTACCATGAGATGCCACCATCTTGTTTCTTCCCATCTCTTTGTTTGAAGGCCTGTTTTCCTAATGTCAGCCAAATGATTGAACAGCTGAGGCTAGAGTGGTCGGGACAATTGGAGAGACAAGTCAACTGCTACTCTCCTTTAGGAAAATTTCCATAGCAAAAATAAATAGCTACTAATTATTTATCACCTACTATGTGGCAGGTACTATACCAAGCGATCTATATATATTAGCATTTTACTTAATCCTCACAACATCCCTATGAAACAGGCATTGCCATTCCCACTTCACAGATAAGAAGGCTGTAAATCAGAAATTAAGTGACTTGCCCGAGAGCCGAGATTCTAATACCAAAGGCCAAGTTCACTCTGTTCCACTCCACTGCCTCTTTTTATAGATTCCACAAAACCACAAGAAGCCAAGAAAATCGAGCTGCCATTTTCTTCACTGGCTCTCATACCCCTACTCACCAATGGCACCCAGAGTGACCAGTGGGTTCTGCCGAGGGCTGATGTGCTTGTCATAGGGTCGGTTTCCATACATGTGGGCGGCACTGTTGACCAGCCAGGTGACATTGAGAGAGATGGTATAGCGGAGGATGGAGGCCAAGAAGTAGGAATTCCACAGACTCTCTCCCCAGATGCACCAGGGCACCAGCGTGGGGACCACGAAGCACATGAGCACCACGGTGATCTTATAGTACCTGGAAGGAAGGATAATATGCTATCATTGGGCACCTGTTGATGGCGGTGGGGACAGGCTGAGCAAGCTATAGGAAAAGTCAGGAATTGTGCTGGTCAGCAACTCTTTCTGTATAAGGAATACCCTGTTGCATGTCACTCTCTGCAGGGGTCACAAACGCATATAACCACAAGAGCTAGGCAGGTAACACAAATTTGAGAATTAGCACAGATAGAATGTTATAGAAAGTAGTAGGGCCTGCAGCATATTTCAGAGGAATTTTAATATAAAATGATTAATATTGTGCTGCGAAACCCATGTGTCTTAGAGCTACATTTGTCCTACAAGCCACCAGTTTGACAGGTGCTAGCTTTCTTCATCAGTCAACCAACCTGCTAATCAGGTTTTCTTGAATAATTTCTTGAATAATTTTCTTGAATAATTTCTTGAATAATTTTTCTTGCATAATTTTCAAGCACACAATTCTGTGCTTACTTAGCTTAGTGAAAAAGGAAACGACCCACTTCCAAAAATGTTCTTTGTCCATTAAAGGTTACATTCTAAACCAGCATAAAAAATAAACACTAAGTACAGGAACAAGCATGGCCACATAAAAAGTAAGCATTAAAAAGAAACCATTATTGTTTGATTTCTGGACCTGTGTATCCAGCAAACATTTACACAGCACCTACTATATGCCAGGCCCTGAGTGCTGGTGATACTAAGACAAATTAGACCCGCTCCCTCCCCCCCGGCTTCAGTAAAGGAACCACTGCTCACCACCCTTTGCTGTGTTTGATTAGCTTTATGTGGAGGCAGGAGAGGAGCTGTGACATGAAAGTGTCCAAAGCTACCTGTTCATAGCAATTTTGTCCCCGGCTTCCCATTGGCTAATCAAGCTTCCAGGCCTCTGTTAAAGTGCAGATGTATCAACTGGGAAATGGCACAATGTGAAAGCATGAGAGTCCCAGGTGGAAGGCTTTGATTTGAGTCCAGATCTGATTCTGGATGTTGAACAAGGCTTTTAAAATTCTTTCACGTTCCTCATGTGCACGGTTAGATCATTCCCCAAAAAGCAGAGCATGAGGCAAGAGCTTGTGCATGGGTATTATATCTGGGGAAGTGAGCTCATACTACAAGAGTGGGCAACTGGGAAGAATGAAACAGGGAAGGCAGGAAAGCCAAACCAGGGGTGCCTGCTGCTGTGGGCAGCTGAAGTTGGGCCTCGAGGGGGCGGGTTCTACTTCAGAATTAATCTCTCGAGAGATAAAAGAAGGAACTATAGGGATGCCACGTGAGATATTACCTCCCTCACACCTCCACGTTTGCTTGGGTCTGAAAGGCTGAGTGCATTCTATAGGCATCTTAGGCAGAAGTGGCAAAGAAGCCAGGGCAGGAAGTAAGAAATAAGCAGTACGGCTGAGGAAGGTGCTGTTGGGTTACACTCGTGCCAGCAGGAGGCTGTAGCATCGGCTGGAATGAAAAAGTGGGCCGAGAGTATGAGGCGGGACATGAGAGGTATTTAACTCAAGCAATAATCATATCTCATGGGGTTCTTGTGAAGATCAAATACTAATAACATATACTATGTATTTACTGTGTGCCACGACTATTCTGAGACCTTTATTATACTGATTCATTTCATTCTAACAAAAACTCTAGGCTGAAGGGACCATTACTAGCCCCATTTTACAGATGGGGAAGTTGAGCAACAGAGAGGTTATATAGCTAGCCCAAGGTCACAAGACTAATAAGTAGTAGGACCAAGATTCAAATCCAGGCAGAATCACTTCAGAGACCATTGTGCTATTCTGCTTTGCGAATGAAATCAGGTATGCAAGTGTGCTTTGTGGATTGCTAGGGGCACATAAGTATCGGTTCCTATAATAACTGTTTTTATTAGACAGCATATTAACCCATCAGCACTTGTTTTCCAGTCATTGGGCAACCAGATGGCTGTATTTTAGTGGAAAGAGAGTTCCTGGGAGATCAGATGAGTGGCTGTGGATGGAGAGGCAAAGACAACAGACAACTGATGGTCCTAGAGTGGGCTCCCCAGAGTCACAAGCAGAAGGCTCTGGGGGTGCTCTTGAGAGATACCTTTGGGAAAGGGAGGAAGGCAGGATTGGGCCGAGGGAGAAGCTCACCCACAATGAGTTTCAGCAGATCCAGTCAGGAGCTCTGAGGCTGGAAGACACTGTACCATTGTCCCAAACAGAAAGGTATCTAGGATCGTGCAGCCACTGGCCTCAGAGTGCCACACGGGAAGTGTGAACCCTCGGGCAAAGCAGTTCTGTGTGGGCGTGGGCAGTTCCCAGTAAGGACAGGAGCTGGAGGGTAGAAGCAGCAGCTGAAGAGGGGATCTGGGCAAAGCACGCAGGCCCTCGCCGAGGGCCCTGGGACCACTGGTGAGCATGTCAAGAGGCAGGATGCTCTAAAGGGAAAACATGCCCAGAGCCCAAGACTGCTACTGCTGCTGCTCCCGGTTTGCACCTCTGAGGGGGACAGCAAGCGGCTGAGCATTGCCAACAGGAGGTATTTTACAACTTAAGCAGCTCTGTCCCTTCCTTCACTTTCTAGGGAGGAATCAGCCCCTCATTTTGCTTCTAAAAAAAAAAGAAAACATGTATTGAGGACTTGCTCTGTGCTGGCTAGGCATGTCAGAGGCCTTCTCTCACTTCTCCTCACAGCGGGCTCAGGATGGACACATTCCGCCAATGAGGACCCCTTACTCCGCCTGGCCCTATGGAATCTGCCTTCTCAGTTTGACCAGCTCACAGGGCTCAGCGTCCACTCACACCCTGCCCCTGTCTCCTCCCTCTGAACCTTTTAGGAAAGCCACCTGCCTACCTGGGCTCTGGTTCCAGAAACTCCACTCCCGCAGGGGGCTGGGTTCCTGTGGAGGGACGGCACCAACAATGTGGCTTCCCAAGTGGGAAGGAAAAAAAAGCCTGAGCTTCACCTCCTGGCACACCACTGTCCAGCCAAATTTCCTCTTCCTCAAAAAAAGTCGCTCTTTAAAAACCACTGCCTTCATACTAACAAAGCGTTAGCAGATCTAATTATAGGGTTGTTAGCTGATTGCTCTTCCTGTATTTTGCTAGAATTCCTCTTTGTGTGCTCAGCGCAATGGATGAAAGAGGAATTTTTAGAGGCATGGCGAGTCTGGATGGGATTGCTAGTGAAACAGGTCTTGACGCTGATAACTGTAAAAATTCTCCCCAACCATTTCAAACAGACTCAGCATAGCCTCCCGTGTAGCTGAGTACCCCTTCCTTCCTCCTGCCCACCACTGACCTTGAACAGCTGGTCTGCATATAATTATAGTCACTGGCCTTCTTGCCTCAAAACGAGTGCTCAGATGGCTTCCCATCTTCCGTGCTTAGAAACACTAAAATCTGAATGCCCTTGTCAAGGGTCCACAGAGCAATGCCAAAAAGCCTCCAGCACCTAATCCCTACTCATTTAAAAGATTTCCTTTCTTCACCTGGTGGTAGAGAGGAAGGCTGGAGAGGAGCCACTGATATTGCACTTTTTGATATTGTCTCTTTCCTAAATGGACTTTTTATGTTGTAAAGCATCATAGAATATTTAATTACCCAACTCTGCCACTTCTTCCTAGCTGTGTGATGCTGAGTAAGTTATGTAATTACATTGAGCCTCAGGTTTCTCTTCTGTAAACTACAGTACTAATAAATTTATTGAATGCCGACTATGTGCCAGGTACTGTCCTAGCACATATAAAATGAACAAAACAGACAAAAATCCCCGTTCTTGGGGTGGAGGGGTATTCTCATAGGGAGGTTGTATTTATACATTTTTTCTGGTAGGGAAGACAGCTAACAAACAATATATGTGAGCAACATATGGAGCATTTTCGTGGTAAATACTAAGGAAAAAAAGCAGAGAATGAGAATATGAAGTAAGGGTAGGGTATCTAGGGAAGGCCTTAATGACACAATAGCTTTGAAGGAAGTGAGAAGTTAGTCATAGGGCTAAATGGGGCAGAGGATTCCAGCCAAAGGAAACCACAGGCAGAAAGACTCTTAGGCAAGAGTCTCCGTATCTGTAACAGTCTTCCCCAGCCTGGCTGACCTGACTTTTCCAAATATCAGTCTGAACATCATTTCTTGGAGGATTTCCTTTGTCCTCTTGGACCAGGCAAGGTGCCCCAGCACAGTGGTCCTGTAGCATGTTGTACTTCTCCACCCTCAGTAGCCATATCTGCTAGATCAGTGGTCTCAACCCTGACTGCACATTAGAATCAACTGAGCAAACTTTAAAAATGACTGATGCTGGGAACCCCCTGCAGAATAATTGAATCCAAGAGAATGAGAATTTCTGGTCTGAGCACTGACATTTTTAAAGCTTCTCCATTGCAAACATTGGTGGTAGCCTCCCTAAACCCACCCCATCCTTTCTTTCTTGCTGGAGTGCCCTGATTTTGTTCAGATATCTATCTGTCCTCCTTGCATCCATGTTTTTCAGGGAAATGCACCCTACCCAGGACATGGGTCCTGATTGGTTTGAGGCAATCACAGTGATCTCATTCGCTTTGCCAATAATTAATGTATGATTTGGTCAATAGTGGCCAATAGATATGAGGGAAAGAATGGCTATAATTTTTAAAAAGAGAAACAAATGTTGGTGAAGGTATAGAGCATTGCTGATGGGAATGCAGAACGGTGCAGCTGCTGCAGAAAACAGTTTGGCAGCTTTTCAAAAGGTTAAACATAAAATTACCATATGACCCAGCAATTCCACTCTTAGTTATATATTCAAAAAAAAGAAAAGAAAAAAGAAAAGCAGAGACTTGGACAGATATTTGTACACAAATGTTCATAGAAACATTATTCACAATAGCCAAAAGGTAGAAGCAATCCAAGTGCCCATCAATAGATGAATGGATAAAAATATGTTGCATATGCATGCAATAGAATATTATTCAGCCATAAAAAGGGATAAAATTTTGATACATGCTACAACATAGATGAACCTTGGAAATGTGCTTAGTGAAATAAA